GTTGGCCCAAAGCCAACGGCCAGCTTTGATAGTTTTCTTTTTTAATGTCTGCAGAATTATATTAAGGCTTAAAGTCAGGAGATCATTGAGACAGCCAAAATGTCAGCCACGTTCAATTGCACACTAGACGTTGACGTCAATTGGGAAAGGGCTGGGCTGCCCATGAGAAGATCATGGATAACAGTCCCAGCCGGCCCTGGTTACATATATACATTGGCCAAACAACAGTGCACGTACATCACAACACATATATTACGCACATATGACATCAATAGCACACACACATGATAACAGAAGCAAAAAACGTCAAGGTGTTCATACCACACATAGCAAAACCAGAGTCAGAGTTGAAAGGATCTAAGCATTATGTCCCGGATAAACCACCAGGAGACCAAATGCTAGCAGAGTTTTGTCAAAAGCATAATAAGAAGAGTACTCAAAACCAGGTGATCTAAATGAGAAAGTCAGGAATCAGTCGTCTTTGGATTGTTTGGAGTCAGCTTCGCCATCTGACTGTCCAACATCAAAACCATCATCCCCAATTGGAGGGTCCATCTCTTCTTCCAGTTTCGTCCACGTAGCTACATCTTTTTCTGCCTCCCAGTTAGACGTCTCACCAGCAAGGAAAGACTTCATAAGTTCCCCTCTAGTTTTCCAAACATAGTAGCAAGCTGCGTCTGTCACCTCTTGTCTCTTTCGTCTACCATAGGCCTCTAGGACCTGAACCCTTTTGGAGAGCTTTAAGTTCTGAGCAGCTTGCATAGATGATTCATTTATCAAACCTCTAATTTGCTGAGCATTCTCTTTGAGTTGAGAGAGGAGTGTCGTTTCTTTCCTTCGCAATTCGTCAAGTGTCCTCTCCAGGACGGCCACCCTTTCTGCGGCAGCAAGACTAGCTTGGACACTCTGTTCAAAGCAAGGGAGTTAATACAAGAATTTTGGACAAGGGCGAGATTTCACCAAGAATAAAAAGGGTAAACACCTGGAAAGCATAGGCTGAGGAAGCAGCTAGGACTCCGGCTGGGGGCAGCCCGTTGAAGAGATCCGGGGTAGATGGCAGCAGAAGTTGTGACATCTCATTTTTCATTGATAGTCCATCCTTTAAGCTACAAAAATTAGGAGAAAAGGACAAGTTCAAATTCTGGAATTTTGAAGATGATGCTGCTTCACTTTTAGGTAGAACGAGGTCAGGGTCCTTCACAGCAGACTCAGAATGCTTGGGAAATTTCGGTGGAACACCAGTCAGTTTAGTTGGAGCTCTTTTCTTACGAGTGGCCATAGCCAGCAGTTCATGGGCTGTAGGGCCCAGACGAGAACTAGAAGAAGAGGCGGCTGCATATTGAAATGAAGACAACCACCCTTGAAACAAAATATAAGGGGAGCAAGTCAAGGAACAAACAGGGGTAATCTGGTGTAAAGTTGGTTACCAGGGGAAGGAACAGGGCACTTGCTGGGCAGAGACTGAGAGTTTGCCACAGCTGGGAACACCACCTGCATTGGAACAGTCGCACCTACATTCCCTTCACCATCAGCTTGGGAGCTTTCTGATTCCTGTTCTGAATCCTCAAGAGAGACTACAGACGAGTCTTGAACCAGATTAGATTTAGTCCTCAAATTACGACTAGAGCGCCTTAAGCCAGCGGACCTATCAGGAGTTAGAGTGGGGAGAGTACCTGGTGATTCAGCAACCAGGTTCACAAACCAGCGTTCTTCCACGGGGATAGCTTGGATTTGTGCCGTTCTTTCCTCCGAGTGCAACCCATGAGGAATGGAAATTGATTTCTTTTCTGAAACATAGGAGGCTATAAACAACTACACTTCGCAGTACAATACATATATAAATGCATATATAAAAAACATAAGTGTAATGCTGATACGTAAAAGGACAACATCACTATAATGATGAGAGCAAGATATTTTCATGTACCTTTTTGCAGATTATCTTCCAGAAAAGACCCATCACTGCCGAGGGAGCTTTTGAGAACGAAGAAATACCAGTGCATCCAACCCCTATCATTCGCCTTATCGACCTTGTGAATAAGTCTTGGCTTTTTGCCCTTCATGGCCAGTGTGAATCTGCCAGGGCCGGATGTTCGGAGTTCATAAGTAAAACCCAGATCCTCAAACTCGAAAGGAATGCTGTACTTCTCGCTGAGAACTTCCAAAGCGCGCAAGATCCTCCACAGTTGAGGCATGATTTGTGAGGGTGAGAGGTTGACGAATTCCAAGAAGCCACGAGTTAGGGGAGTGAAGGGAAACTTCATCCCAATCTTGAAGGGATAGTACAAGAAATTGACCCAACCGGGGCAGAACCAATCCATCCGCTCATTCGCCGCCGGGAAACGAATGGTCGCTGAAGAAGGAAAACCGGCGGAAGTCTGGATGTGCTCCACTTGGTCCTCAGTGAGTCTCGCCTGTTTCGAGCTTTTTGCTTCAAGAATAGACAAAGGGGTGAAATTTTGGGAAGCCATGAAGTTCAATTGTTGCTGGGATTCTGGAGAATGACAAGAGGAAGAGGACGCAAGACGTTTGGTTTATTGATGCGAAAAGGCAGTTTGATAGTTCCAAGACAAGGCATAGATTGATGAGATTCTGAGTCCTATTTGGTTTTTAAAAGAAAAAGAGGGAGCCGAGTCCAAAACCAATTAGATCTCAGAATGGGGGCAATTGTTGGGCCCTTAATAATAACGGTGATGGTTGGCCCAAAGGGAAATTCGGCGAGGTGATCCAGAGAGGGATTGAGGTCCGATCTGTGGAGTAGGCTTAGTCAACATTTTTAAATGGATAAGACTGAATACTCTTGGAGAAAAAGAAAGCAGCGCATGTTCAAATGGGTACCGCCTATTTCGACGGACAGTTAGGCGAGCGGATTGGAGAGTGGCAAGTATATTTAAATAGAGAACATTGCAAACAGACGGGGATCATCTGAAAAACACCGAACACAGTTCATACTATTGTTTACTAAGTTCATCCATATCAAAATTCTAAAGTAATTCTTGTGTAATTTCTTGTGCGAAGCCCAATCTGTTTCTTTTCTTTTTGTTCTTAATTGTTTGGAAGGAGTGTTAGTTTCTTGCCTAAACATAAAGCATTACATAACCGTTCTTGTAACATCCTGTATTATACCGATTTATACGTACTTAGTAGTTAGTACTCCGTATGTTATATGTATATCCCTCTTTACAACGATCTTAAGTTATACCTCTTGAGATTTTGGTTCAGGTGAGAAATGCATCTAATGTGAGAAATGAGAATGAATCTCAGCCATTGGATTTACGAAGTTGCACTAAAATTGGCTTTATGTTGCAGTAATATTTAAATTTTGTACATGTTGCACTAAAACTGTTTCATGTTGCACTAATATTTGACGGCGTTGCACCAAAATAGTTTCATGTTGCACTAGACACGTGTAATACGAATTTTTCAGAAGTATTTACAGAAATGCCACCGTGCTAGATTGCATATTTCAGTGCATCATGAAATGTCTTTTACTACAACTTAGTCGAATCCAATGGCCGAGATTCATTCTCATTTCTCACCCAAAGGGTTCTTCTCACTTGAACCTTACCCTACCTCTTGAAATTATAACGTTATTTAAGTATAAACATTTCTGTATAAATTTATTTAATCCACTAACTAATAAGCATACCTTTTGAGCATAAATTAATTAAGTAATATATATTTATTTAAAGTAACAATTCAAGTAATTTCAGTGTTACCTTTAAGCCATGCACACGTGAGGTCTAAACCATACATGCTCATTTAATAATTAAAAATAAACAATGACACTTAACAAATCAAATGTCATATACGATGTACTTCGTATATGGTATATGGTACTGACTAAAATCTTTCCTGTGAATAACAAAAATAACAAAAATAGATATAAAGCTGATGGCTCATATGAGAACTAGAGTCGGAACTCAGAAGGATTAGAAGAATAAACTTGTTGGTATTCTCTCATGTCTACTAAGTTTTCTTTAGTTTGGATCCTATGCCTGGGCTCACTACCCATCGAACTATATACAAAGTGTGGGGAATTAGCTATTGATTTGTTTTATTTGCAAAAAAAAAAAAAAAAACTATTGATTTGTTTTACTCCATGCATGGGTGAAATGTGCAAGCCTGCAAGGGAAATGGAATGGAGGCAACTTTTGTTTCATTATCTCATTATTATACCAAGTGTCTCACTGCATGATTTGCCTAGCTAGTGTCCAAGAGTGTTTTGGTTAGTGTCCTATATGTGACAGGTGTCCTTGATGATTTTAGTATCGGGTAAAGACTTCACTGTGTACAGTGATGCTTCTCTTAATGGCCTAGGATGTGTTCTTATGCAAGAAGGAAAGGTGGTTGCATATGGCTCAAGACAACTCAAAGAGCACGAGAAGAACTACCCCAAAACATTTTTTTAAATAACTTGCTGGAAAACCCCGAGAGAGCTGAAAAGTATTCCATAGTAGTTTGCAGTTTCGCACAGACTGGATAATAAAATTGCATATCAATCTGAATCGTATATAAAATTGGAATCTACAAAAATATATATAAAATCGTACCTAAATATATATAAAAACATCGTTAAGATTAAAATTTTCTTTGATTTTACAATTATAAAAAATGTGTTCAGCACAACGAAACGTGGCCCAATTAATTCAGGCATTAGCTTATGCCATTTACAAGTTGGTTTGTTCTTAGTTTCGGACTTGCCTCAACTGAGATTTTTTAAGGGAAATTCTATTTACAGCCCGTAAACACACTCACATTTCCGTTTTTTCATAATTCCATTTATGAACTTGTAATTTAACGCCGTTCTATACTGCTACTGTCGACTGAACTTTCCAAAACGAAGGGCGAAAGAGCATATCCTTTCCCATTTCTCCGACAAGATAGGTCTGTCGAAAGAGGAACATTCTTGGACTTGAAAGGTCTGTCGAGAAGAACATTTTTACGAACTCTTTGTTAAAAAATAGGGATTGATTTTCTTGTTTGGCCCCATTTTTAGGCAGCATTTGATCCGCAGTCTACTTTTTCCATGATATCAAAGAAAAACTAATAGCTCCTAAAATTCAGGTTAGTTGTTTCTTTATCAACTAGTACAAAAGTATACTTTGAATCTTAAAACTGTTTATCTCATATATATCTATACAAAAGAGTTGTTCTATATATCTTACAAACTATAAATGCTGCCAATGAGGGCTAGAATCCTTTTGGGGATATAAATTTGTTGGTGTAACACTAAAGCATAATGAAGTTATAGCTTCTGTTTTAGTCATCCTAAAGTTGTCTCTCCGTTACAATACAAAGCTAAATGGCATCCACATACCTCTTCTCCAGCTGGTTGTTCTTTTCATCGAACACGGTATTAATGACTGTCACCGTTTACGTTTTCGAAGTGTTGCCTCTTCCGTCTTCTTTCTCATTCTTTGCATTCCTTACGGGCGTTTAAATTGAAGGGGAGCTTGTTTTAAAAGATACGTAGTAAAAAGCTAGTTGGTGAACAACATTTATAAGGTTCTGAAAGTTTTTTTTTATACTTTTTTTCATTCCTAAAGATGCATTTGTTCTACATGGTAAACTATTTTTTTTCCCCACATGCCTCAAATGTTTCTCCTTGTTTGCAGCTTGATTGCCTTGTGTGTAGTTATTGTTTCCGGTTTATTGGCTCCATTGAACATCAAATTGGGAGGCAGGTTTGCTGGAAAAAAATTGTTGATTAAACAGATGAGGGTGGAAGGGAAAAAAGTTCACATAAAAAGAGAATGTTGGGACTCTAATCATTCTGATGAAGAAGATTGTTCTGATACAGAAAATCTGGAGGAGAAAGGGGGATGTTTGTCCAGCAGTTCCAATCCCAAAGTAAGCATCTCTAAGGATCTGGTTCAAACATTAATGAATGGTGATATTCAGCTACCATATTCAGAACTATTTCCCTTGCCCCCAATTGTTTCATGTCTTGGGGGATGCGAATAAGAAACCTATTATTGCAGGTCCAAATTTTCATGTTTTCTCATAATAGTTTCAAATCGATAATAATATGAAAATGCTATTGGAGGCTTCAGGAAGAATTAATAAATTTCTTTTATCCCATATCAACACTTTGGCAGCCCTTCTTGTGCCGATGCTGATTGGGAGGAGTTTCATTCTTTGCTATGTACTGGAAAGGGCTCAAAAGCATTAAGCACTATGACAGTTCTGAATTTCATAGAACATGGTAATGGTATGGTGATGGTCCATTGCCCAAATGGCACTCCGATACGAATATAGGCTATTCATTTTCTAATAAACATATATTATGTTCTCATTTCAGAAACAAATGATATTTTCTCCCCTGCTGTCAAGGTACTCGTCAAATGTCTTATTTTTAGTCTATGAGTCTATCATTTATAAACATCTGGAAACCTTTTATTCTTTGTAACTATGGAGAGTGGGCATTTCTGTGTACTTTAGATGAATGGGGTGCTCTTTCCCTAAGCCTGATATGTTGAGTTACGTACTCACATTGTTACATAATTACTGAAAAGAATAGTGTATGTTCATACAATCATCATTGGCTTAGAGATAAAATGAATTTAAAATAATTCATTTTCTGTCTAATCAATAATATAAATAACTACCCTCTCTATTCCATAACAGGTTTGGGAAGATAAGAGGAAAGAGAGGTCACAAGCCACATATGAGACGAAGAAGCAATTGACAAAGCTTAGGATCAAAGCTGAGAAGGCCGCAGAGGAGAAACTCGGTTCCCAACTTGATGTCTTGCCCGCAGTTAAGTACTAAATCAGTTTATTGGATGCTATTTTTTGTAAGGGTAGTATAACAAGCATTGAAAGTTTTAGCAGTAAACTCTAACAAGTGTATTAAAAAAATTATGTAAAGAAGTAAACAATGAACAAAATAAATATCTCGAGGGGAGAAGGTAAAACACTGAAAATATCCCATACAGAAGCTCCCCAGCCCATGGATGCTTAATTTATTTTTTGTGTGTATACTCGGTCAGCTTGTTATACAAAGTCAGTTTGTTATACAATGGTTTCTGTGAAACGTTTTGCTTAGTAATGCTTATGAGTTATGGCTGTAAATGATGTATTTCACTCATTATCTCCTTGATCTTTATAAATAACATGGGCAAACAAAATCATTGTTTCTTAGAATGGTTTCAGCTATAGTACCACAACTCCACAAGCAGTATTTCATTATTTATTTCTTCAGAATGTTTTGCTTAGCAATAGAAGCTATAAATAACACTTCTGAATGGCCATGTTAGTACTCTGAATTTCAACTGCTTGGTTATAAGGAATATTCATGTCTGGCCAGTCCGAACAGGAGCCCCTTCCAGCCTCTGCCGTTTGGGGCAGTTCCCGGTGGTATTTTTTTCTGAAATTTTGTTTGTATGTTCTTCATCAAGTCTAGTTTAACCACACCAAATTTCAACTTAACATTCAATCAGGAAGACAGTCAGATGATTTTTGGAAGATAACTGCATTTTATATGTATATTTTTTAGCTCTTTGAGTTCGTGGAGAAGGTTTTGGAGCGAAATTCTGATGGCCCCGGAGAGACAAGTCATCGTGGAGAGAGTTTCCCGACAAGACGACATAGTTTGCCAAAGTTAAAAGCTCCCCTTGATCTAGAACGACAACCAACTCAATCGGAGGGAGCTGGACGAGAGCAACAATGAACAGTGACCAGAGAGGATGACAGCGACAAAGCTCCCCTTGATGACTTGATCTAGAAATTGGTTAACTTGGAGATGTCCAACAATGACTTTACAGTTACTGGCTAGAGGAGAGTGGCTCTTCTTCGTCACCAATTAGCTTCATCGTTGTAAGATTCCAAGATGCTTGCCTGCGAGGCAGAAGATGTTGCTTTGCAAGAGAAGACTAGGGAATGGGGAATGAGAGAGAAAACGAAAGAAGGGGGGGGGGGGGGTGGCATGAGCACCACGTATGTGTTGTGTCAATCCAAATGTGCGCCACATCAGAGTTACCTACTAAAAAATGGATTTCATGACATTTAAAGTAGAAGGATGTAATTGATGGAAGTTAAAGCATGAGGGCTGAATGAGTTTCCTTATAGAATATGAGGGCCAATTTGACACTCCTCTCTTCCAAATATAGTCTTTATCAAGTATAACTTGTTTGCAACACTTTTTTGGGAAGTTATTTGTATACAAATGTAAAATATATATTTGTATGCAATTTACAGTTTTGAAAGTACAATGATGACAATGTGAAACTATCTTCATTGTTAAATTGTACTTTTTTTGGGACATGATATAACTTTTAAAACCAGACGCTTTTTATGGATGAAAGGGTATATGCTGCACAAGTTGGAGCAGCAAAAGATCCTTGTAGCGGTAGTAGACAAGGACATCAAATTTATTGTTGAAATTTAAAGGACGCTTCAATTGTTTTTGCTCATTCTTTAGTCAATCGACTTTCTACATGGAACATTTAAACCACAATATTGTCCATAGAACCAGATACTCAGATAGTAGAAGCATCAACAATTAAAATCATGTCTTAGGCAACTAAATAAATGTACTACACAAAGAGCATTTGTGGAAACATCCTAGGTGGCATATGACAGCAATAGAGATAAGACGATGGCCTTAATTTAATATATCACAATTGCCAAACATATATAAACTTTTTGCAGTTCAAATAGCAGAAAACATCAAACCACAAATGTCTAAATGCTGGAATAGGGAAATAAACACAGAAGAAACAATAGGGAATTTGGGAAGGAGAGAAAACGTGATGAAAAAATATTTGTTCATCCGAAGTATATTTATTTCTTTTATACTGGTTCTAGCTCATTTAACTAATCTATTTCTATGATAAAAACTAAAAATCTAAACATATCTCAATCTTTTAAACATTGTTTGCCTTCACGTACCATGTTCTGCATTCCAAACACAGCCTTATGGTGAACTTCACTGATTCTTTTTCGTTTGAGAAGTAAAACTGGATCTTCGATCCATACTAGTAGTTCTAACAACGAAAAGAAGTGTTTCAACCAACATGCCTACAACCAATCCGAGGATACCACCAGCAGCATTCTGTAAAAAGAATACAATTGATGTCAGCTAAGCAAAGAAAAGCTAACACCGAATGTGAAGAAAGCAGCAAAGGTATGCTAAATCTTTGGAAGTTGTGATCATTTATTAAGCGCACACATAGCCTAACAATAAATAAATACAAATATATGCTATCAAGTTACCATGGCTGGACTGTGACTAAACAATGCCCTGAAAGCAGCATATCCAACCAAAAAGCCGGTGAACATAATAAGCACAACGTGCAAGCCTGCAATTAACCAGATATCACTTACAAAATATAAATACATTCACAATAACAAAATTCCTTCAAATTGATGATGAAAATTAAAAGCCAAATCAAGCTTGAGAAGGAGCAAAATATAATCTAAATAGGAGAACATATATGATCATGTAATAAAAATATGAGTAAAGAGTCAGTTTGGTCCTCGAAGTTGCTACAGTATCGGCGTCGGCCGTTGCCATTTGGGGAGGTTCCCGGTGGAATTTTTTTATGAAATTTTTTGAGCATCTTATTCATTAAGTCTAGTTCACTGACTCACTCATACCAAATTTCAGATAAAAATTCAATCGGGAAGGCATTCAAATGAATTCTTGAAGATAACTGTGCAGTTAAAAGCGCAGTTATCTTCAAGAATTCATTTGAATGCCTTCCCGATTGAATTTTTAGCTGAAATTTGGTATGAGTAAACTAGACTTAATGAATAAGATTCTCAAAAAAATATATCAAAAAAATCCACCGGGAACCGCCTCAAATGGCACATCCGGACAGAATCTTCTATAAAGGACATATTTGACCCCTTTTATGCAACTTCGATGACCAAACTGACCCTTTACTCATACAAATTTATATTTAAATGAATAAATAAACATTGTTCCTATCTTAGAAGTATAAATGTGTTGCAAAGATTGTTTTCCTATTTAAAGCCTTGTGTGAAGGACAATTTTTTTACCCAATCTTGGTACTACGAATTTGAATTTCCAAAAGAAAAAACTAGAGGATATTTACAGTTTTACACCTTAATAAGAAATATACACTGTAAATGACTGAAATGCAACATGGGCAAGTACCAACTGTAGAACCCTATAGATGAAGTTATCGTGCACAATGTGAGATGTCAATCATCAATGAAGGTTACCTGGAGATAGATTTTGTACAATCTCTCTAAACACTTTTGTAGAAGGGGCATGTCATATACGTACCAAACATAGATACTACACGGTACACGCTGATACTCTCTTATATTCTGAGTTCTGACATGAATCATAATACAAATACAAAACCAAAAATTCGAATAGTTAACCATGGGGTTTGCTCACCATCTAAAAACTAAGTGATAAAATTGAAAGCAAACCAAAAGTGCTAGATTTCTTAGCATCATTCACTGAGCTACATTTTGCAGTCCTTGATCCTTCCCAGTGACCTTCAAATTTAAAAATAATAAAGATGGACTATACACCACTAGGGTTGTCATTTTGTCAAGGAATCAAATCAAACCGAATACTCGACAATATTATTTGTATGACTACAGAATATTCGTATTCGTATTCGTTTAATATTTGAATCTTATTTTACATTCGTATTCGATTCGCTTGGTATATTCGAATATATTTGAATTCGAAAAACATTAAAGTTAATTTATGAAAATAATTAAAATTATAATGAAAATAATTTCCCCCTTTTACTCATTTCCATAGTCCATATTTCATACAAAATAATATATATATATATATATATATATATATATATATATATATATATATATATACACAACTCACTTCTTCAAATTTAATCTCAATATAAATAAAGCTGAGAACTCTGGTACCCATTTAAAAAATGGGGTACCATACCTACCATTCACTTGATTGGTCCAAATAGGTATATCATTTTTAATTTAGACTTAAATAATTCAACTGCAACATTCTGATAGGTCCATGTGGACAAATGTATGGTACCTTATGGGTACCATAGAATTTACCATAAATAAATCAACGGAGAAGTATATCTCTAAAATAAGCTATTTTAGTCTGGAAAAGTAAGAACACTTAAATTAAAATACGCAAAATACCTACTAGTTTTTTACATATATATTACGGAGTATGTTATTAATATTTTTACATTGAGTTATATTTATTAATAAGGAATAGTATATATTGTATGAATATATACAGACAAACACACACATAATTTGAATATATTCGAACATTGCTCGAATTGAATATCATAGTATTTGTACTTGTATTCGAAAACTATTCGAATCAAAAAACAGATTTGTACTGATATTCATATTCAAATTACTCGAATTCGATTCAACATTTTCAAACTCGAATCACGGATCGAATCAAATTATTTGATTTGTTTACAACCCTATGCACCACACAAGGCTAATCACTGTTTCTACTTTCTATAATCCAAATTCCTGACTAAATCAATCCAAGCTTGCTTCTTTCCACTTCAAATTCTAGAAATAAAAATTGCATTTTACACCAACACCTCAAGATATAAATATGGCAACAGCCTATAGCAACCTCACATATTTATGATCATGCATAGAGATGAGCATAAAGAGCCAAAAAATAACGTAGCTTACCGAATCCCAATTGATCCTTGTAAGAAGAGAAAGGCTCTTCCACTTTCTTCCTGGGGGTTATGTCCTTGACTAATTCCTCATAGGCTTTCCTCTCCGATGCCTCCACAAGCTTTCTTAGCCGAGCCTTCAGCTCCTTGCTCTTTTCTCTTGGCTTGGGGCTAGGGAACATGAAATCGGTTCCACATAGAAGGGAGAGGAGTTCGGGTCTTTTTGTCGGGTTCGATCCCATCCATACGGATCGAAGAGGTTTGTAAGGAATGGACACTAACAGGGAGAGTGAGGCAGCAAGGTCTCTCATATCTTCAGCAAGGTGAGAGTCCTGCGTAGAAGCGACGAGAAATGAACGAATTGCATCCGTCGCTGGTATCACAAGGCCGCCGTCTACGGCTGCACAGGCGGAGCACGGGGAAATCACGCTTCTTTGGTCAGTGTGCATGCTGTATTGTTCTTGGGCCTTCAAAATGGGCTACCCTGCTCGAATAACATGCAAACTCAAATAATCAATAGAGAAAGGGGAATTCTATCCCAATGAAGCATCTTTTTTTTTTTGAAAAATCCCAATCAAGCATCGTATGTTCCACCATTTGAGGGTTTCTCTTTTTTTCTTGGGCTAATTTTAGTTTGCACCCCATATTATTGTCCAAATTGGACTTTGCACCCTGTTTTTAAAAGACTTTGTTTTGGCACCCCAACTACATATGAAAATACAAAAATGTCCTTGATCAGAAATATGTTGAAGGCCAACAGAATTGTTAATGGAGGGGCATTTTTTTCTTTTCATATGGGGTTGGGGTGCAAAAACAAAGACTTCTAAAAATGAGGTGCAAAGTCCAATTTGCACAATAATATGGGGTGCAAACTCAAATTATCCCTTTTTTCTTCATATTTACTATCGAAACATTTAGGTGCACTTTAATCATAAAAATGGTTAATGTTGCCTATATCTAATCTATATAATTCATAGAATGACAAACACTACAAAACAAGCAAATTTTCCTTTCACTACATACTTGCCTTCTAACTGTATCTAAAAAGAATTATTTAAGAGTTATCACCTACGGGGAAAGATGAAGATGTAAAAGTGTTGGTATGGTTTCCTATATAAATGTTAGTACAAATACATCTTTTCTAAACAATTAAAACTTTTGGTGCATATTTTAGCAATCCTTAAGGCAAGTAACATGATAATATTTCCACAATCCTAAGGTCAGCAACATGACGGTAAGGTACTTTGGTAGCCTATTGTACAGTAAAATCGTAAACATACTACTACGTAAAAGCGGGTCAATCTGTCACACACTTTGAAATGCAATCAGGTTCACCGCAATAATGAAATGAGGAGAAGAATTCGTAGTATGTAGATTAGATAGACTTGTTTCCATAAGGATAGTGGAAAAAAGTTTCAAATAAGAAAGTGTATATTCAACAAAAACATTTCTAGGGTCCCAATATGGTGTTGTACAGCATTTTATGAACTTTCATTTTTCATTCCTGGGCTGGTTTGCTTGCTCTATTTAACATCTAAAAATCTTTTGTTCTTGGTTGTTCCTAAATGTATCCTCGGGTCTTTTGAACAATATGATGACCATAGTTGTTACGGCGGGGTTTTGCGGCGCGGCGCCTCCGGACTGCCATACCGCCATGGCGATATGGCGCCTGTCGCGGCGGCATCACGGCGATAAGTCGACATATACACTAATAAATTCATAATACGTTTTACATACTAAAATACCTACATGTAACACTTGTAGGCAACACTAAAAATGAAGTAATAAAACATGTAATCACAGAAACAACATACAGAGTAATCCATAAGCCTATAGTACATCAAAACAATCCCAAACAAATCCAATGAAATCCATATCCATAAAATAAAAGTTGTTTTCATAAAATTGAAACAATTGAAACATTTCCTAAAATAGTAGCAACTAAAATTAAATATAGTACAACAATGCACACTTCAGTTAAATGATTTTCTGTAAAACACAGTTTAACACAGCATTAAATACAAAGCATGCCACATTAAATACAAAGCACAGGTTAAATTTTTGTACAACATAAAACATTTTTTTTGAAAGAGTGCAACATAAAACATTAAATATTTCTGCACACAATACTGGAGTAATGCAAAAAAAAGGACTTGCACATTAAACCGACTCTAGAGTCTAGACAAATATTGGACCAAAAAAAAACAGCGGACGACAATCGCTGTGAGTCACGAGCGACTACAGCCTGGGCGACGGAAATACAAGCGAAGCTGGAGCGTGCAAACGAATGAACGATGAAGACGGGTGGAAGCGACTGTGCTTTTGAGAAGTCATCGATTCGTAGATAGGTCTGTTTATTTTATTTTATTTTATTTTATTTTGATGGGTTCAAATAATTGGGTTTGGGCCTGTTCGAAATTGATTAACTTACGTTTGGGTCGTCGCTTAGGCGTCTATGGCGTGTTTCCGATGCCACAGCGACGCTGCGTCGACGCCAAATGGTTTATGGCGTCTCGACCTCCCATGGCGAGCTTCAGATAGCGCCACGACGATATAGCGACGTTTAGGCGACGCCATGGCGACGCCGTAATAACTATGATGATGACAAACCAAAAGTTGAAATGTTGTCTATAAGGAAAAAGGACAGTGTCTGATTCAAGGACTCAATTTTTGGCTAGAACAGATGCAGACAGCAGGCCTGTAAATCCCTATAATTAATGCAGCTAAGTGTACGATGCACTCATGCAAGGAATAGTGTCTGATGCTTTGTCAATTGCAGCTAACTATCCAAGAAATGTAGAGGACAAAGGATTATTAGTTCACACTCAATGAGTTAATGTCAGTTATTTTTTTTTTCACTTTCTAAGTTATTTCTATTATTTGAATTCGAAAAAACTTTAAGAGACACGAAATAAAAATAATTACTTTAATCACATTACACTTAATTTTTATTTCCTGAGATATAACATATAAGTAAACACGGGGGAATAAGTTTGCTAAAAAAAATATTTCCTTTTAATCAATAGCATATCCCATGAATCTAAGAGTCCTAAAATAGGGGGGTTGATACTGATCCATTCACTCAACTTCTTATAGGCAACAAGCCATAAAAAACCAACCTTTACACTTTTTTACTAACTTTCTAAATGTCTTCCTTATTGACAGTCTGCCATTAGTGATCAAAAGCACAATATTAATACAAAGGGCCATATGTGGGTTTCATATATAGATATATAGTATCCTAACTGACCCAGGAACACTAAACCAAGAAGCATACTTTCGGTCCTCCTATAAGCTTTCATGTCTAAACCAATTTTTGCTATTAATTTGGTACTATATTTTTTTTTGTAAAAAGGAAAGGGAAAATAAATGAGAATTTGAAGAACCGACTAAAACCACATTCTACGCCTTTCATGTCATCTACATATCTGGAACTTCAAAGATTGCTATAAAAAAGAGCATTTTGGGTGAAAGGAATGAATTAAACTTTTCCTATACTCCTCAAAAATTTATAACTAATACACCCAACACAAACCTTCTTTACCTATTTCATCCAGAAATTTCACCCCTGAGTTCATTAGTGATTCATCTTCCAAATAAGGAACCACATGAGCAAAATGGAAAAACCACGCACCTGGTTGCCAAAGGCGAAAACGATGGGAGCAAGCGTGGATGGGTGCGAGGTAGGGCTGGGCACGGGCCGGGTCGGGCCGGGTAATGCAAAATAAAATGGAACCGCCGGTTCCATTGTACGGGTCGGTCCGGTCCGGGTATTTCAATTTTGAAAATAGGAACCAGACCTTACCCGGCCCGTTTCAAACGGATCAGTCCGGTCCGGGTTTTTCGGTTCCTGAATTGTTGTTGACAATTAAGATAGCAATACAAGTGAAAGACGAACCCAAAATTTACCCAAAATTTACCAAATGTGTAAAATAGTCATATTTTATAGTTAATAAAACACAACCTACATATAACAAGATAACCAGCCAGTTAATGTTAAAATGAGCATTACTTTAGCAGCTTCATTGTCAGGGTCGTCTAGTAAAATTGAGACACTATTCCAAAGATCAATTCGAGGCCCCAATTTGAATTTAAAAAAAAAATACAAGATTATTCTCAATACTTCATTACTCAAAGTAATTGGAAGCTGATTAATAAAAGCAACCCAATACTAGCAAAAAAACAACCCAATACTAGCAAAAATAGCAACCTAATACGAAGTAATTACTAAACAGAGTAAGAGAAGAAGTGTTTTCTTTCTCCAAATACTACATAGTCCATATTGTTCTCCATTACTCTGTAATACCAAATCTTATTGCTTCATCATATTAATCAACTGTATTAATGAATTATACAACTATATACTAATACTCCGTAGTAATCTTTTTAAAACAAAAATAAAACAAAGAAGATAGTATCTAGATTATTTTACAGAGGTAAAGATTTGTTAGAAAATAATAAAATACACACCTTAAAATCGCAACCTCAGTCAAGCGAGGGGGTCTCAGCTCCGTACAACACGATGTTCACAATTCACAGCCTCTCAGTCAAGTCGCGGCCTCGCAGTTAAGTCGCCGGATCGGCTCGCAGTTGTCGATTTATGTTTCACACTTTCTCACATCGTCAGGGCCTCGGTCTCTTCACGCAACAGATCATAGAGGACGACGACTAGGGCTATAAGGCTATTACACGGGTCGGGGTCGCTGGGCTATAGTCTATTATTATACGGTTAACTGGGCTCAAGATTAAAAAAACTTTTACTGGGCTAAATTAACGGGCCGGACCGGGTACCCGTGATTTTAAAATTTGAGAACCGGCCCGAACCTATGTTAATAATTGTCCGTCCCGCCCCGTTTTCTTTTCCTTAAACTAAGAACCGCAGATTACCCGCCCCGGCCCGCCATTACCCGCCCCGACCCGCGGTTCTAGAACCGTTTGCCCACCCCTAGTGTGAGGTTACGGTTTGGTTCCGGGGCAGGGATGAGGTACCGGTGCGATTGGGAGCAGCAGGGGGCGCATCTAGCATTTTCAATCTGGGGGCCAAAATTTGATTAAACAACATATATTGCCAAAAAAAATGTCAAAATATAGTAAAATACTCCCTCCGGTTTTTAATAAACTTCACACTTTCCTTTTTGGGACGGTCTAAAATAAACTTCACACTTCCTTATTTCCTTTTTTGGCAAAGAAATCTACATCAAAACAGTGCCAAACAGTGCCAAACAGTGTCTCAACAGTGCCAAACAGTGTCTCTACAGTGCCAAACAGTGTCAAACAGTGCCTCAACAGTGTACTCTACAGTAAAGTCAAATTTCTTTCCTTATTTTGTGTGAATTCAAACTGTGAAGATTAAAAAAAAAAACGGAGGTAGTAGTACATTAGTACTAGTATGTTATTTAACAAAATTTATTTTCAAATGCTATGTATAAAATAAAATCTTTTTTTGAAAGAATTCGGCTTATATTGATAACAGATATTTCAGAGTATGGGTAAACAGACAAAAAGAAATCTGACAACCGTTATCCCGCGAACCAGACTCGGAATTAATCACCTCCAAAGAAGCAATATAATTTGTTGATCCATAAATGGGAACCCAAGAGCCAAAAACGGTCACCATATTCCTCTTATCCCCCACATCCAAAATCAAATAGCAAAACAGAAATAACAATCCCTAAAGAAGTAAACCAAACAAAAAATAAAAGATTTCTTCCTCAGCCAGTAAACTCGAACAGCCTCCACACTCCCATCGGCAGCTTTGGCGGGCTTAAAGAGCAAAGCCCGCCTCCTCCCCGTTTTTTGCCCCATCCAAAGCCATGTTGTCCTCTTCGTTTACCTTCTCTGTCCGAGTCTCCCAGATCTTCCTTCTGTTTGAAACCTCTTTTTTTGATTCCTCCCCTCCTCCTTTGGTCATGCTTTGGGCTGATTCAGTCGTTGCTTCTTTCTCTTTTTCACCTAGCTTCTCTTCCGATCTATATGCCCCTGTATATCCACCCGTTCTGCCAGAGCTCGATGAACCATCTAGGAGCCATTTATTACCTCCTGTTGGGCTGGTCTTCACCCCGCTTCCTGCTCTAAGATGGATTCCAAATCTTTTTTCTAAACCTAAGCCTTCTTCATAATTTAAAGGACAAAAATTATCTAAATGTCCAATAAAACCACAAATGAAACAAAAGTTGGGCAATCTTTCATATTTGAAATCTACCTAATAACTTTTGCCATCTTTTTTCAGATCTATCCCCTTTTTCAGTGATTTATCCACCTTCATAACAACCCTAACCCTCATATATGGCTCCAATCTATCACTCTTCTGATTATCATCATATTTTATAAACTCCCCAATGAAATTTCCCACACGCCTAGCAGTTCCCAGATTAACAAGACTATAGGGGACATTATGAATCTGAACCCAAAACTTAGTCTCATTAAGAATAATTTTATGTGGAATATCATCAGGTAGAACTTCTTTAACATTAATAGACTACGCTCAAATTGCCAAGGACCTCCTTCAAGCACACGCATCATATCAAATCGATGATTAAAAGTAAATAGGTACCTCTTTTCACCAATTTCTTTTACCGACATACCCTTCCCCGGCCTCCAAAGTGTGAGCATCATCTCTTTAAGGTCTGGGAATTTGACCTTTCGGTCCGTCAAAACCTGGCCAATCACCGGAAAGCCCGCCGAACTCACCTCCACCGGAGCTCCCTCAGCCTCAACCTCATCAAGGTCCTACTCCTCCTCTTCAGCCCCGATCGCCATTTGTTTATACCTATCAACAAAGTTTTCCATGTTCCTAATCTATTACTCCACCGCCACACCGTTGCTAGATATCACCTCGGAAGCACTGAACCGTCCTCCTAGACTATTCGTCGAAGCCACTACCTTCCTTGCATCCGGAAAACCGAACAAAATAATCAAAGCCGCCTCTTTACCCGCCAATCCATTCGTCCAACGTCCTGACTCCAAAGCGCCGCCCAACTCACCCAACCAACACGCCCTTCGATAGACTCGAAGGCGGACGAAAAAACTAGAAGTTGCGTGAGGCAACCCTAGAGAGAGAAAGTCCTTTGGCTGTTATAAAATAAAATCTTTTGCAACATAAATGTCAAAGAAAAGAATAAATATAACAGGAATAAGACTTTTTGTCTAATACAAAAACACCTCAAATGCATACATATTAAACTAATTTCACCTACCAAGCCCAATGAATTGAACAAATTAATTTTTCAAACTAATATTCAAAAGCTCAATAGAGTTCACGATATTACTATTTAGCTCATTCACCGGTTTGATATGAGTGTTAAGCTTCTATTAACTAAACTTAGGAGACCATGTTTAAATATATATATATATATATATATATATATATGTTTGAAGGAAAAATCCTTTTATTCTTTTGTGAGACAAAGAGTTTTTAGACATAAAAAATGAAATTTTTACGCACTATGCTCTACCAGTATATTGAAAAGTTAAAAATGATTGATGTACCTGGGATTCGAACTCAGAACATGCAAGCCAACACAGTAGTATACTTCCATCTTGCTAATACAGGTTTTATGTTTATTTTGACTTTCATTGTAATTATACCTTATTTGACAACACTACATATAGTATAATACATATATATACTAGTAAATTTAATTTTTTTGAGGTTGGGCCTAGGCCCTACCTGGCCTATAGCCAGATCCGACCCTGGCTGGGTGAGGGTGGGTGCACTGGGAGATGGAGAAAATGGAGTGTCTAGAAGATGAACAGATGGAATGAAGCTGCGGGAGCGATGACGGGAATAAAACATAAACAATTAAGTCTTTTTAATATATAGATCAAATGGTAAAGCAGATAGTACTACTCAACTAAGCTGAGTATTAAACCAATATTTTTTTCATCTCTTAAATGCCCTTACCTTCATTGTCAATTATAAGATTGTAAAATAAGATTGTTATGTAACATTATGGGGCAGATTATTTTATTACCTTAACTAGTAGCCAGTTTTCAATGGTAAAGTTAATACAGATTAAACATGAACTAGATATAATCTAAAGTATGCAGCAGCCCCATAATCTAAAAGCAAATGTTTCAATGGGAAAAGGGTAATTGAATTTGGTTCCTCAAATATATGCATCATATTCTTGGATGACCGAAGAATGAAGCGTCTGATCCTAAACGTGAAAAGAAATAACATGTGCTGGTGCAGATTCATTGTAAAACAAAGAGCATATTGCTGGTAAGCCATTAATAATTTGATACATCACTACATTAATCTCAAAACAATTGTAGCCTACATCAATCTAAATTATTCGTTTAATTACTTGAGGAACCAAAAGTGTATATCTCTGATTTGGGGACAGAGCGATTATGATGCATATACTTGAGGAATCTAACTAAATTAAAAGTGTAAATCTATATTTTAAAATGTCAATTACTTGATGATATATTTATGTTTGAATGCCTATTTACTTCATAGTCATCTATGGGCCTATAACTATTAAACTAATTTAAGCATTTACATGAGGAACCATAAGTGTACATCTCTTATTTGGGGACAGAGGGAATGTGATGCATATAAAGTGATGAGTAAGTCTAGCACCATTTTTGTTGAGTATGTGGTTTTGTTGATAACTAACCATATAAGTGGAATGACATACAGAACCGCTCCAGTTCCGTAAGAGTAAAGAATAGAACTATTCTTTCACTAACCATGCAGGTGGACTACGAAAAGTTCTAATATGAACTCTGGACAGAAGAGTTCCATGAAATACTCGTTCCCATATTAGTTACGTGTCTGCATGTGCATGTCTTTCGACGTATGATATTTTGCGTGCATTAATATATTTCCATAATTGATTAGATATTCTGTTGGATGTATTGGTACATATGGTTTATGGAAAGTAATATGAGTGCCTTTTTGCATGACCATTATATATGCATACGTAATTGTACTTTTAACATTATAAAAAGTAATTGTACTTTTTTATAAAGTAACTTTGGCTTGCTTATAATTAATTGATTACATGAATATCTTATTGCCATATGAGTAGTTGCTGCATAATTACGTACATGCTTTTATTCAAATATATTTCCATACATGATTAGACATCCAATTGAATTTGTTGACATATATAGGTTATGGAAAGTATCTTTAAAATACCCTGCTTCTTTTATGGTAGTTGACCGTAGCACTTTTGAGTTTGCCACACCAGATTGAAAAGCTTTGTCATCTTAATGTATTAAATAAATATTTTTAGTATCTTGGCTTGCTAAAAAGAAATAATATGTTGGCACATGATTTGAATATATTATTGTCATGGTGCGTACATCCTTCTATATATTGGCATGATATCTTGTGAATATGATTGCCCTTTGCATTGATCTCGAATAAAGAAGATCATTATAGAAGGAAGGTTTTTCAAATAATATCAAGGCAAATCCCGTGATTAGCTGCAAGACTATTCAAGGAAAGAGATGCATCAACGGACATATCAAGGCAGCCTATATAACCAAAGCAGCCAAAGAGAAATAAAGTGAGCTTGACCAAGAAAATATCAAGAGAAACACTCAAGAGAAATACTAAGTCCAAGGCACCTGAAACTGCTCCTGGAGTTCTAGACAGAGTTCTTATTCCCTTCTTATATTGTAATTGGGTTATTGAGGACGATCTAAGTATAGCTTCCTCTGGTTGGGTAATATGTGTTGT